CCCTGAACTATTTTCAAACACACAGTGGGATGCTATTAAGGAATTTATGGATGGTAACACAGAAACTATCTATAAAGTAAAGCCAAAATAATCAAGCTTTAATTTACAGTACAATAGACACCTGTAACAAAGTGCTCACAGATGTGGGCAGTACTATGCCTGAGCAATAAACAACAGTGTTCAGAACCACTGTGTGCAGACACATTAGCTGCTGCATGTGCTGTGTGCCTCAGGGGAGTTAAAGAGAACTGAAAGCTTCCAGCTCAGTCAAATGTGATTCTGTCCTTACCAAATGTTGTAATATTACTTGCAGTCTGTTGAGTGCCCTCAGCCTGAAAAAGAAACATTAAAAAGACAGCTAAAACCATAAACCAGCCACAAGGTGCCCAGAATATCTGACTGCTGGGTTAAGCAAAGCAGTGGCAGAAAAATTTGGGAACACAACTATTTTACATTCTCCTGATTAGAATCAATTAAACTAGGGCACTATTTTGTTATTGCAGCGGTTGGAAATTCTTTGCTTACTAGTAAATAGATAGCAGATATCAACGTTTTCAAGCCAGGAGAATGTGAAAATACCACGACAGGGGGGTTGGGGGATATGACTGACACTCCGTGTGTCTTTTTAAAACGATTCTCAGCTTTTTTGCAGGCGCATTTTAATACCGACTTTTCAAAAATATATAAATAAATAAAAACAGTCTCGTCAAAAACCTTCGTCTCTTTCCAAAAACTTCAGTGACACAAACCTGCCCTGGTGCGTACACACGATTTTACAAACATTTACACAGGGTTTGTGTAAGAGCTCGCACAGTGCTTCTGTGGGTGACAGGAGACGCACGCTGTCAGACTTTGTGAACACGCCACTCGTTTTGAGCAATGAGGCTGTTATTTATTAATGGCCATGAGGAAGGCTGTGCTGGCCACACATCACAGCTGGAATGAGAAACTTCACCTTTCTGCTACTTACAAACCCAGTCAACTACATGTTACGCGTCAATACCGCGGCATGCTACGCTGTTTTTTAATCACATGCTCGCTTTTGAAGGTGAAAGTTAGTGAAAGCCAGGCTGATCTAGGCCCAAACTATAACTCGCAGCAGCTGCGGGGCTGCGATCCCCGGGCGGCTCGGGCCGCCGCTCCCTTCGCTCCCCGCCGCCGCTTCAGCCCCTCAGGGCGGCCCCCGTTACCTGGGCAGCGCCTGCAGCGCCCGGGCCGCCAT